ACTTTTTCTCCACAATATTTGTAAGTTCTGTGAGGGATTCTTGATTAGATATTTCATATAGTGTCATAAACACACATACGACAGTACAAAAACCTCTGAACATGCAAACATCAGCACAACACCAATTCATTTCAACGATATCCGGGCCCGACTACCCACTAATCCTTGAAAAAAAAAGAAAAACACACACATACATACAGACACACACACACACTCATTCCTATTGTTCAGTCATTTTCTTTCTCTCTGTAATCACAAGCCTATCTAGTGTAAACCAATTTTCTCCCTATTGTTGGAGGTGTTGCCCTCTCCCTCTGCCTGCCTCTGTATCTCCCCCTCTTTTTCTCTCGCTCTTCTTTTCTTTCACCACGGAGGTCGTTCCTCCATCATGTTAAGCGTCGGCAGCACAATGGCAACTTGTTAAAGAGCTCTGTGTGGAAGGATTAGCGATAACTGATCGGCGAGACGCGGCAAGAGATCACACACACACACGAGTGCTTGAACACACAACCAGACACACATACACACACTGCCACGTGTACATGTCACACACACACACACATACCAGGTGTGTTCAAGTTTTCACTTCCAAAATCCATTTTCCCCTACAGTTTGATTTCTTATCTGTTGTGAGATTACACTGTAGTAGGTGGGCAGTATCCCTGTCAGCTAGGTGATATCATTTTATTGCTGAAGATTATCCTTCACTGCAAGAGATGTATCATGGGAAATTGATCTATTATTAGAGCATTAAAGGTGTCACAATGTGTGCTTCCAGGGTGAATGATACCAATCCCGTACTTTTGTATATTGTTTATAAAATCTGATATTTTAGACACACACTTACTTTACATACATTTGCATGATGCATTAGCAGCTGAGCACACACAGGCAACAAGTTAATGAATTCAATCATCCAGTATTAAGAGAATGGAATGTATTGACCTTAATTGCCCGAGTAGTCCCTCTTTCAAATCCATATTTCAATTAATAGCCAATTAAATCAGTAAAGCAATAATTAAAGAAATACAAGAAAATGTTAAAAAACTTTGTTTCCTGAAATTATTCAGTTTATGTGGACATGTGGTGGACAACTAAAACTGCTGTTCATCGCTAGGTCACTGAATATTAACTAACAGCTTTTCTGTCTCGTATTTATATTCACTGAGACCTCGAGTCCATTAGGATATCATGATTTGAGTTTATCAGTGAATAGATAGAAATAAAGGCAGGTTAGTTACATTACAAATGTTCTGCTTACATAGTTTCGCATTTTGTTTGTAGGAAACACGTAGAACACGTCAGAGAACTAATCAAATGCAATGAAATATTCTAAAATGTTACCTGATTTTGGAAAGAAAAGAAAATCTAAATCCCGCACAATCTGGAGATTTTTATTAATTCAATAAAATATAAAACTGAATGTTGAGCAGGTACGCAAAAAAAGTTTATAAAAAATTCCTCACTTGCTTAAAATGATTGCATGTAATGCTACTTTGTTTGACTGAATTGTCTTATTGTAATGTTTCATGTGTGTAAATAAAAACAACGAGCAATAACCTTGCAACAACAGCTCTGTTATTTAATTGAACCAGCATGTTGCTGGTTCAATTAAATAACTCCTTAACCTTGTCATAAGACAGAGGAAACCCTGTTCACCCAGATGTGATTTGAAATCTGGATCACGTATCATACAATAAGTGTGTGGGTGGTGCAGAGCCTCTTAACAACAGGAACGCAGCAAAGAACCGAGGTGCTATTTAAAAAAAAGCCACGCTAGTTTCCTTGTCAGGGCCCTGGGCAAGCCCTGTGTTTGTACACACACACACACACACACACACACACACACACACACACACACACACACACACACACACACACACAGAGACAGACACGCTCATTCATCCTCCGTGCTTTTCAAAAGACTTCTTCTTGGCATAGTAGAAACGAATGAAGGATATTGAAGGCAAGCGTTTGAAGTACATGAGGGAATGCAGGAATCAAACTGTGAGTTAAATAGTATTAGACAGCTGTGTGGAGAGGCAGTGTAATATTAGATTTGATTGAATAGATGACTGCTGAATGTGGTGTAATATATAGAGCTGGGGAGGCTTTATGCGGACGCAAATCAATATTGCAGCGGCGTGTTAATCCGCTCAGGAACGGGAGGCGTACGGCAGGTGGAGGCAAGTACGGAAGTTACACTTTTCAGATAAACTTCATTTTAAAACATAATGTAACAGACTAGTTGTGTTGTAATCTAACATCTCTCATTGTAATCTCACATGTGTCTTCTGCACCAGGTGTTATTTTTTTAAACTGTGAAACAAATGTTGACGTTTTTAAGAACAATGTCTGTCAATATGTTATTGCAAACCCATTATTTACTTTCATCAAATGTTTTACAACAGTAGGAACTGTTAATAAGTGCTTTAGATTCAAATAACTTTACTGGATATAATAAAAATGTTTTATTCTACAACCAACTTTGGTTCTCCTCATGGGAACAGTGCAGAGTAAAGACACACAGCACCCATGCTTCCCTATGTATTCTGTTGGTGAAATATGACTAATCATGTTTAATGAATGCCGCTACACACATACAGTTTGACCACATTAGCTGCGGGGCGAAAGAATATGAAATAAACATCTGTTACTTTTGTCCTGTCAACAACACCTGACTATTAGACCTGACTCGCTTCTAAACTTAGAAACTCTGACATGGCAACCTTCAGGATATGTTAACAATAAATGCACATCACTACAACTCAGGAAACAAGTAATGCAACTTCAAAAGATCAAACATTTTGGGATATTATGAGTAGAGGTACAGTATATGACATTTTGCGGTCATGGTACGTGTTGTCAGTGCTGACTTAGTTAGAATATGAGACTTGTATGAACTCGGAAAAAATCACTGCATTACTTTTGTTCGGCTCTCCGTTAAGTGTGCAAGGATCTGGAAGCAGAGATGTTGAAGTGCGTTGCCTGTTTGGGAAAATTACACTTGCACTCTTTAAAAAGTAGTCTAAATGATTGTTTGTACTGTCAGCATCATGCTGACAGTTAAACAGTTAAACTTCGTCAAAGAGAAACAAAAGCGGTCAAAAGTCAATTGTGCTATGGAACAAAACCCTCTCCAGTTTGAGCATATTTACTTTCAGGAGAATCTGAGCCACAGTGCTGCCCCAAACAGTTTCCTCCAACCCTGACATACATCTAATTTGACACTCTCTTTCTTTTTCGGCTCACACCTAATTTAAGAATGTTGTACTGAGCCTTTTTGGTTGGTTGCACTGCACACTCTCTGCCTCTGTGTTCAAGCAGGGAGCAAGGTGAAATGTTGCTCTGCTTTGTGAGTTTGACTGCCTCAGAAAACGAGCGGTGAAGCTCTGGTGACAGCGAGCGGCTTCATTTGATGCCACCACTTGACACACAACAGAAAGCAGCAGGAACTAAATTCATGGCCATTACTTTAAGCTGATTTTGGCTGACATCTGTCGCAATCTTTTTTTTCCCAAACAGCGAGAAAAAGATGTGTGTGACTTGAGACTATACTTTTTTTAATAAAAATGCTTGATTTTTAATCCTTTTTTCTGCCGCCTTTGTCTGCTCTGGGCTATGTTGCTTTTAAAAACTTTGTGTGCAGTATTTTCGTCACACGCTGCTCTTCCCTTTAATACAGGGGTCAAATGAATTTCTCAGCAGCTTCCGCTCACATCTTCTATTCTTTTCTGTGTTGGCTTTGATTTTCATACCTTTTTTCTTTAATAACCAGAGGTGGGAGAAGTACTCGGGTCATTACTTAAAGTGGACCTATCATGCTATATTTGAAAAATATATTGTAGGGCCATGCCTATACAAAACATGTCTGTGAAGTTTTTTTTTCAAAATACTAAACAGATCACCCATTGCAACAATGCCTCATACTGCTCAAACCCCTCTTTTGAAGCCCTGTTAGAGAAACGCGGATCTTGTGTCCTTAGCTTGAAAAAAAAAGAAGAGGAGGAGGCGGAGCTAATGCCTGATCAGAATTCTACCAGAGATAAAGTTAAATTCGGTTGTGATGAAACGCCATCCTGTTCAAACCACGTCAAGGATTATTTCTGAAACAGTATGGAGCTCAAATGCTTTTTCTCTTTTCAGGTTTATCAC